GCCACTATCCACTACCCCACCAGGCATCAACGACGGGCATCTAAGCGAGGTACTCTACCGCAATACTGGAAAAGCCTGTTACCATTGAACTCACCATCCTAGGGGTAATGTGTGAGATAACCATGCGAACCAATTATAGAAATAACTTTTAGTGTGGCTCATGGCCATTACGAAATGTGCGCATAAATTTTTGAAAAACGCCTAATAAAAATAATGTTAAATATAAATATAAGATTGCTTAACTCAGTTACATCAATACTCTTCTCTATTTAGCACTCGGAGACCATTAACTAGTTTCGACCATTCCATCTCAACCCACGCGACTGGAGAGTTACTGCCCGCTCCATGATGTTTACACCTCACCTAGGGGACTAAGGTTTTGTCTGGTTAGATTAGACCTGCCAACATAGCTCTCAGAATCATAAGGAGCCTGCAAACCACCTCAACACGTTAATGAACGTTATTAATCTAAAGCAAACAAGACAATAGCATATCAAATAAAATGCCTGTTGAAACAACACATTGACGTCATGTTGCAGAACGGGCATAGCAATAATTAGTACCGTTCACCTTTCCCATGACAAACATCAAAGACTAGCGAGAGATGTAACCTGTGGCACTTCCATGATGGCTGGATTGGGGCCTATGTGTCTTGAGCGAATATATTTTGTAAGAAGACGCTTCCCAAAAACACGCAAACGACCATCATTTGCATGAAGGCAGAACCTGTTTTCGTCCCTAAATGTTTCAGAGTGCTATTCGATCCTCCAGGTTACTCTTACGACATCAACAAAGACGGTTTGGGCGTAAGTGAAAGTTTGGCTTGAGGCACATATGCATTTAATCCTGCAGGAAATAATCGATTGCGAACGACCTGTGTTCACACATTTGCTTTGATCTATGATGAGGATGCTGTACGGTCTGACGTCGCTGCACTGACAATGCATCAATCAATCTTCTTTCGAACATCTTACCGAATATTACTGAGTAGCACGGGCGTTATGCGGGCGGTCATTATTCTACTGGAAAAGCACATTACCTTCTATCGACGAAATGGCAACAGAACAAGTTGAACAATATAATGGACCTACATGGCGCTGTACAACATTCCCTTCACAGATGGGATATGTGAACAACCGGTTGGGTGCTTAAATTTTTGAATTCTCTTGCTACAGTTCCGTTCAATAAGAACAACATCAGAATACCTGAAAAATTAAGGAAAAATCATTACTATTGCAACTTTACTACTTAGAAGCGCTGTGGTTAATCTAATTTAATTTTGTCGGGGATTTAACAGTTAATTAAATTAAAAAACAAGCATTTGGGAAAAAATAAATATCTTGAACAAATCAATGAAATTTATAGAAAGGAAAATGTTAAAATAAATCTAAGCTAAAGTGAATTTGTTGTAAGAAAATAGAAGGAACAAAAGTTATGTTAAGAAATAGAAATGAATATATTTTTTAAAATTGTTTCCTTCTGAATTGTTTTCGTTGTTCTGATTATGTTTTTATTGAATGAAATGTTGGCAACAGAATAGGAAAGTTTAAACATCCAACAGGTTTTCATATGTTCCATCTGACATACTCTGGTGGGATATTTAATAGAAATCATTTTATGTGTATGCGCATCTGTGTGCGTGCTAGCCAAGTCACCCAATTCCTGTCGCTACAGAAACTGTTCAAGGCTCTAGTGAGTTCCTCAACTCTCTTGAGCTACATGGTGTTCCTTTCCACGAGATTCAACCAAAACGTTGTACGTTCATCATACTTCTAAGAAATCTAAACCTTCTAAAGATGTATAATGGAACCTGCCTGGCTGTCAAAAAACTTTTCTAAGACGCCTTCGAGACAACAGTCCCAAATGCAATTGGCCCAAAGGAATAATTCCAGTAGATTATCCCTTTAGATTCATACGGCTTCAGTTTCCAATGATGCTCCGCATTCTCATAACTATTAACAAGGTACAAGGACAATCTTTCAGGATTGCTGACTTTAAACTGACTTTTCCATGTGTTTTTCCACGTCCATCTTTGTTTTTCATAGATTGTATCTCGAAACAACCTTTTCATACTGGCACTGAGTAGGAAAACCACTAATGTCACATACACGGAAGCCTATAAACATAAGGCGTAATACCAATTGTTCTGTTTGGGGCATCAGTATATTCTTTCACTAACAGCTACTTTTCAAGTGTAAATATTGTAAAATGTCACTTTACAATAGAGTTTAAAATGTTTAGAAATTGCGACTATGACCTAGCCGACAATCTTCCGTTTGGAAGACGACTCACTCTGAATTAAGAATTTTTTAAAGAGACTACTGAATTGGATCTACGTCAAAGCACACGACATTTAGCATACAGACTTAATATTTCATATTCAACTATCTTTAGTCATCTCAAACGAATTGGGCAAATTAACAAAAAGGAAATTTGGTTTATTTATAAGCTTTCGCTTACGAACTGAACACAATACCCCACCAATTGCAGCAGTCTTTTAAACAAGAATACCAATTTTTCATTTTTACATCACATTGTTACGGGTGATGAAAAATGGGTTTTGCATGTCAACAGAAAACGAAAAAACTGTTTATTACAAAACGAGAAATCTGTGCCAAAAACAAAACCAGGTTTTAATTCACAGAACTCTTTTCTTTGTAGCTAATAGAATATGAAAGGCGTCGTCCATTACAATCTACTGGGACATGGAAGGGCCATCACTGCAAACATTTATTGCCAGTAATTTGATCGTAGTAACAAAGTATTACGTCGAAAGTGTTCTACTTTGGTAAACAGAAAATGTTTTATTCTCCAACATGATAAAGGAAGAGCACACTCTACAAAATAAACGCACGAATAAATAAAATTGTCGAGATGGGAGGTTATTCTGCATCCTTAAAGCACACCAGATTTTACAACTACAGATTTTCATTTTTATTAACCATTAATAATTTTATTAGTAGCAGAACATTACAAAGAAGTTAAAGACAGTCTTTCAAACATTTTCTCGGAGAATAAACCCAGAGTGGAATTGAAAATTTGCCTTCCGCTTGGAAATGAAGCTGTTGGCATCTTTGAAGAATAATATTTAAATAATATTTAAATAAATGTATTGAAACACAAAGCAATCGAATAATATATGAATAGAGTATAACGTCCCCGAATTATTATATTATTAAACAATAGTTGTTCTGGACAAACCCGTAAAATAAATATAGTTTTGTACACAATTTATTCTCCACAAATAAAGCGATCGTGTTGTAAAATGCAAAATTAGCAACATGAAATGGATATTTATTGCATAAAAATACAATTATGGCACAAGGCCGAAAAGGGGGAGGGTGACTTTGGTCTTCACTTACTATCTTATACCTAGCTAATCCGATTTACGACCCATTCACTCATTACAATTTACACATTCACCACAAAAACTCGTCCGTCGCCAACCAATCCGCCATACATCATAATACCACATCCTCTCAAGGGAGACCGACAAAACGCGCCCCATGCCATAAAATTTAATGATAATAACTTATATATACAATTTTAAAGATGAAAAATGAGGGGGAAGGGAGATGAACTCAATAACAACCTAACCATAAACACAAAGTAAACTAAACATAACTAATGTTAATAAGGCCCGTCCAACCCTCAAAAAAAGGAGAGGCCGTTGTATTCTGCCCTTTGGACAAAATCAAGAAGCTCTCTCGCTAAGGAAGTGGGAAGGGAAAAATATCTACGGATATGGGGAATAAAAAGCTTCATGGAGGCAAGACTATACATATATTTAAATGTACAAATCTAGAGCTGCAAATCTATGTAAGCCACTTCCATATCGTCAGTGGATGACCTGGAAGTGGTTCATCAATTCACATACTTCGGCTCCAACGGTTCTAAACACAGACGGAACGGACGAGCTTCCACTACGTTTGCCAGGTTGACCTCGAAAATCTGGGAAAACAAATAGATTACAACGAACATAAAAATTGCACTAGTCTATAAGGCATGCATCGTCAGTGTGCTGCTCTACGGCAGTAAGACTTGGAGTCTCTGCTGCAGACAGGAAAGACGCCTCAGCGCCTTTCATCTTCGCTGTCTGAGACGCATTCTGGGTATTAATTAGTCCGACCGGATCACCAACAACTAGTTTTCACCCGTGCCCAGTTACCCAGATTATACGCCCTTCTCCAACAGCGCCGGCTCCGCTAGTTTGGAAATGTACACCGTATGCCGGATGGGAGGATTCTGAAAGTCCTTCTCTACGGGAAACTGGACACTGACGAGAGGGCACGGGGTTGACTTCATCTTCGCTTCAAGGACGTCAACAAAAGGGATATGAGAGCGATGGACATAAACATCGAGAGGTGGGAAAACGAGGGGCCAACGATCGTTCACGATGGAGACACGATTTACACCGAGAATTGTAGCGAGGAGAGGAGAAACGAAGGCTTGCCGCCGGGGAAAAGCGTACTCGACGGAAAGGAAACAACACGGGGACATCAAGAAAGAGCATCTACATCATGTATTCGTTGCAATCGACACTGCCAGTCCCGTGTGGGTCTGTAGAGCCATAACAGATGTTGGTCTGCCTTCAGAAGCTGAGGCATAACTCACTGGGCGCAGATCCAAGGTCCCACGAGACCGGTAGATTCAACACACACACAAAAATACATACATATATATATATATATATATATATATATATATATATTTTATATATTTATATATATATATATAGTGATTTATTTATAATTTTTCACTGCTTATCAAACTTTTGAATGATATCCAAAGCCAGAAAATATTTTTCGGTTGTAAGAATTTAGGGGAGATAATAAGGATTTACTGATACAATTCTTACTAATTAACCTATAGTTGGAGGAGAAGAGGTGAATTCATACCTTTACCAAGGGTACTTGCGGTTAGTCAATATAACGAACCCGAATGGAATTGGAACTCTCAATTCTGAGCAGCTATCCATTACACAACCAGCACATGTAAATTTACAGCACCTGGTATTCCCAAGTGGTCACCCATCTAAGAACCGACCAGGCTCGACGCTGCTTAACTTCGGTGATCGTACGAGAACAGGTGTTTCTATATATATATATATGTGTGTGTGTGTGTGTGTGTGTGTGTGTGTGTGTGTGTGTGTGTGTGTATATATATATATATATATATATATATATATATATATATATATATATATATATATATATATATATATATATATATATATATATATATATATATATATAAAAAGAGTGAAAATTAATTGATATTTGGATTTGACGTGTACAGAGGTAGAACTTGAAACGGAAGGTAAGGAAGAAAGAGTCTGATGAGAAAAGGGGGAGTTTGTGTGTAGGTGGTCTGGGAAATGGAGTTCAGGGTCGGGGTAATAAAAGGAGTAGAGATAATCCTTTGCCAGGAATTGACCAGGGAGTTTGATTTCTGCTTGGTTCATTTCAATGGAATAGATTTATTCATTTTATTCAAAGGTTGCAGCCGACATTTCTGAAGCACAAAAGAATAATAATAAAGATTGCTAGCGAAAAAAAAAAGAGGAGCAAAATAGTAGTTAATAAAGAAGGGAAAAACATGAAGAGGAACAAGAAGAGTAGATATAAGATGGCGGAGAAAAAAACAACTAAAGAATTTAAAGAGAAAAAAAAAGAAAAGAAAAACAGAATTAAGAAGACGAAGGAGAATTAATTGAAAAACTGAAGGAAAATGACCTGAAGAAGAAGACAAAGAAAAAGAATTCAAGAAAAAAAGAGTAGAAGAAAAACAGTAGATTAAAAAAGAAGAAGAAATAAAAGGGAAAAAGGGAAAAAAGAAGAAAAGCAACCTCAGGAGTTGGAATTAAAAGGAAAAAGAGAGCAAGAAAACAGATCCAAAGGGAAGATTAATGATAATTAAAGGAAAAAGAAGAAAAGCATCAAGAAGAAGAAGAAGAAGAAGCAGGAGGAGGAGGAGGTGGAGAATTAAGTAAATAAAAGTGAAAGAAAACACTTCACAAAGACGACATAAAAAAAGGATGGACAAGAAAAACAAACCCAAGAATAAGAAGAAAAAACGAAATTTAAAGGAAAAGGAATGTAGGAAGAAAAGAAGACTGAAAAAGACAAAAGTAAACTGAAATGAAATAAATGAAGCAATGTCAGGAAAACAGGTAGAAGAATCTCAAAAGAAAAATGGAACTGAAGGAGAGTCTGAAGAAGAAATCATGTTGGAGAAGAAGTAGAAGAAAGAGGAAGAGGAGAAAGAAGAGAATAATAATAATAATAATAATAAGAAGAAGAAGAAGAAGAAGAAGAAGAAGAAGAATGAATGAATGAATGAATGAATGAATGAATGAAGAGATGGAGAAGTAGTAGACTTGATAATGAAGAGCAAGAAGAGAAAAATCTGTTTCAGCTAAAGTATCAAAAGTGAAAAAAGAGGCAAAACTCACTGAAGATGGAAAGCGTGAAAAAAAAGAAAAGAAATAAAGAAAAACACAATGGTGTAAGCAAAGAAAAGGAGATAAAAATAGAAAGAGAAGTAGGAGGAGGAAAAAGCAGAAAGAGAGAGAGCACAGTATTAGTATGTGAAAGATAATTGCTCAAAGATGACGGATAGAAATAGGTAACATCAAAAAATGGAAACATGCATGACAAAGAAGTATATCTTTAATGAAAAATGTCCAATTGGTACAGCGTCTTGTACCTTCTTGTATAAAATCTCACCTCTACTTGAAAAGCTGTCTTTAGAAGCTAATATGGCAGAGAGAAAATCACAAACAAATGATGATAGAAAAATTGAGACGTTGAGTTATATGTGTAAACATGCGTCCCCTTCGTATGATTGTGCACTTGAATATCATAGTTTTGGGATCTCTTTGTGAGCAAATACCGCCTTTTACGTCATCGCCGACGTCAGACACATCGTCATATGAATAGCATACAGAATATTTATTAAGTAATCAGCAAAAAGGACCAGCGATTTAGTTTCTTTTATTAATCTTTAAGTCAGGTTTCTCTTTTACATTCATACTAGTTTTCGTTTCTTTATCTAATTATATTGCTTTCACGAGTTCTGTTTTTCCGTTTGCGTTACTGCTTTCCTTCCTTCCATTCTTAAAGCTGCTCTTTTCGATTCGTATCTTACACACTATTTCATTTCTTGCCTCTCCTCTTCCCATCTCTGTATCTTACTCCCTCTCCCCCCTCTCTCTCTCTCTCTTTCTCTCTCTCTCTCTCTCTCTCTCTCTCTCACTATATATATATATATATATATATATAAAATTTATTTTATCCCTCTCATTTTAGCCTTGTCTCTGTTACTAATTGTATCTGTCATTTATTCATATCTATCTATCTATCTATCTATCTATCTATCTATCTATCTATCTATGTCACCATATTTATTTTAGTTTTCCATGTTAGAATCTTCATTCCTATCTATCTATCTATCTATCTATCTATCTATCTATCTATCTATCTATCTATAGTGCCTGCAATAGCCTGATAGTTAACAAGCCTATATTACTGACTGCTCTAGCAACTATATATATATATATATATGTGTGTGTGTGTGTGTGTGTCAATTCAATATCTATTCATCTATCTCAGTCGCTTCATTTCTATCGTTTTATACTAATTTGTTCAGTTAGCCTTTTTCATATCTATCTATCTATCTCTATCTATCTATCTATCTATCTATCTATCTATCTATCAGTCAGTTCATGTCTCTTTCTCAAGAATGTGCTTGGTGTGTAAGATAGTTGTACATTTGCCTCCTGCTCCTGTAGTCTATGTCCGAATTCAAGTAAAATCAAAATTTAATTTTACTGATTTTGGAAGGAATGGACTTTCCTCGCTTGAATTTCCCTTATCCTATGACGAGTCTAATAATACCTACGTAGTAGAAATATCTGTCTCTCCTGTTCGAAACTATCTTAAATCTGGTCGCAATTGATATATGGGGATTTTCTAAGCGTAACTAAGATATGGCACAAGGCTGAAAGTATAGGACACCCAGTGAGGATCCAGCTCACTACTCATTGATCCAGCGAGACAAGTTTACTAATCATTACTTCATGTCGAGATGCCCTAACATTTTTCTAAGCGTTAGATGAGTCGAAAGTGTGGAGCACCCAGTGAGGATCGAGCTCACTACTCATTGATCTAGGGAGTCAAACTTGTTAACCACATATGAGATAGATAGAGATTTATCCTGGGTGTCTGATGGTAGAGGTTACTGCTCAGTTATAAGCCAGTATTTTGAAAGATATTAAGGTATTGTGGTTTTTCTTGACATGAAGATTATTGCAAGGCACTCCTTCATATCCGTTGCCTTTATTACTTTTCCTGTGCTTGTAAAATCTTAATTATCATATAAATATCTTTCTATCATACTTTGGCAGTGTCTATATATCTGCGCTGTGCCCGTATCGAAGAATGATGCAGTTTTTCCCTTTTCTTTTTCTGTTTTCATTAATTAATATTTACTCTATATATCCTACTCTGGCATGAAGCTAACTTGGAGACGTGAAGGGTAGAAAGATTGTTTTGTGACTATATCTAAGTGGGGAGGGCTCTTTTGCATTCAAATTGAGTATTCGAAGTCCTGAATTATTTTTTACTGGGTTTCAGCACCGACCAGGCGCTAATGGGTAATATGCAACTATCTCAGCCACAAAGCAGGCCACTTATTTTCCCTCCCTATCTCCTCGTACATGGCACTCAATTAAGATTTTTGTATTTCTTCTTTAGCTTCTCTCTCTCTTTCTCTCTGCTGTCTATATACGTATCACTGAAGTTTTCTTTCCATTCTTTGACTTTTCCTTTTCGCATTCTCTCTCTCCCTCCCCCTCTCTCTGTTATTTTCCTCTCTATCTGATTTCTATATATTTATCCTCCTTTTCAATTATTCCATATTGCTTTTACCAATTTTCCTCTCAATTATTTTCAAAGAAACTCGCTCTTTATTCTTTTCCTTAAGGAATTGGTCCCTTTAATCGACTGTGCATGATCATCTTCTCTGCCCACCCTAGATATATCTTACTTTTGCATTAGACTTTACTGTTTTTGTCTTTCCGTTTTTATTTGCCTTCGAACATTCATTTTCCATTTTCCTCCGTATTTTAATTGTTTCTGTCTATCTGTCACCTTTCCCTTCGTCGTCTTTGTTTTCCCCATCTATTTTCCTTATTACCATATTTTATCTTTTCTATTTTCAATCATTTATTTCCTTTGTCTCTTCAATTCTTTCTCTTTCTTTCCCTTTTCTATTCCCTCTTTCTTTTTAAATTCCACTCTCTCTATTTTCCTTTTCCCGCCATGTTTTTTTTTATCTCTTTACTATTCTTCTCCCTTTGTTTTCTTTCCTTTTCTCTTCACTTCTTCATTTCCCTTCGGTCTCCTTTTTTCTTTCATCTTTTTTATCATTATTCTTTTACTCTCTACATCTCTCTTTTCCTCTCTCTCCTTCTCTCTTCTCTCTCTCTCTCTCTCTCTCTCTCTCTTCTATTCTTTTCTGCACCTCTTTCGCTTGTCTTGTCATTCTCTTTCTTGTTTCCTTTGTTTAGTTATTTTTTGTTTTACTTCAAAGCATTCATTCCCCCACACATACACATACTTTTCCCGCCTTTCCCTCCTCCTTTCTAAACCCCTCCCACATCCTTTATCATCATCTCTCCACCTCTTTTCCAATTTCATTTTTTTTTATTTTCTTTCTTCTCTTCTCCTTTCATCTGTTTCTTTGTAAGAGATCCACCGTGGAGATTTCATTTCTATTCGTTCTGTTCCCACCCGCCAAGTCCTTCATGACCGATTTTGCCTTGCTCTTGTTCATCCCTACCTTCCCACTTACCCTCATCTTTATCCCTCATTCCAAGCAGTACATATCAACCTACCTGTGTTCGTGAAATAACATTGTTCACTCCGCTCATATAAACTCCATTTTACAGATACTTCAAGACGAAATCGCTTATCAATGTACATTAATGCACTTGCTGGTCGGAACCAAGTGGTAGTGAACGGACTTGATGCTCTGAACTTATAGGGTTCAATCCCTAATAAAGAACTGATCAAATTCGTTACATTACATTAATCTCGAAGAATGAAAATACGATTTGATTATTCGACCAATCTACTTTGCCCGTTTAAAATAATATTTATCTCATTGGAACATTTTCGTCTTCTCCATTTTTTTTCTAATTTTTAACAGAGTTGTGTTTTGAGAGGTAATCAGCGAGAAAATGTTACTATAATTCAATCTGTTTAAAGAGCCATCTGCAAAAAAAAGAACTATCAGTAGAATACCAAATTCGTTTGTAAGTCACTGTATCACATCGAACGCGTTTTATCACTGAACTTCACTCTGTTATAAGACTCTCGCAACCTCACTCTGTTATAAGACTCTCGCAACCTCACTCTGTTATAAGACTCTCGCAACCTTGGTCTATTATAAGACTCTTAGAACCTGAAAATGTTACAAAACATTCAGAATCGCATTTATTATAAAATTCTTGGACCCTCACTCTATAATGAGATTCCCAGGCCATTACACTGTTGTAAAACTCCCAGAACAGAACTCATTCTTTTATAAGACTCTCAAGACCTCACGTTTTTTATAAAATTCTCAGAATGTCAGTCTTGTATAAGACTCTCAGAATCTTACTCTATAATGTTATTCACAGAACCACACTGAGTTATACGATTTCCAACTCTGCTGGATATCGAGTTAAACATGTTTACCAAACGTCAAGGAAGAAAGGAAGGATGGAAGAAAGGAATGACAAATAAGAAAGAAAAGGAACGAATGAAGAAAGGAATGACAGAAGGAACGCAGGAAAGGAGATGAGAAGAAAAAATATGGAAGGAAGGAGACAATAAAAAATCAAGAAGAAAGAAAATAAAGAATCAAAAATGATAGGAAAAAAGAAAGAACGAAAAGGTAATTCAAAAGAAAAAAGGCAGGAAAGAAAGAATGAAAGAAGGAATCAAAAGCGAACGAAAAAAGGCAGAAAACAAAGGAAAAGAAGAAAGAAGAAAGGACAGAAAGAAAGAAATAAAGTGAGCAAGAAAGATTGAAGAAAAGAACAGAAAGGAAGAGACAGAAGAAAAGAAAGAATGGAAAAGGAAAGGAACAACAACAAAAAAAAAGAAATTACAAAAAAAAGCCGGGAAATAATTAATATCTGTAAAAAAAGAAGCAAAGGAAAAACAAGGGAGACTTGTCGAACGAACGAACAAAACACTAAACATAAAATGTCATATAAATGAAAATAAATAAATAAAAAATCTTTCAAAATAAAACAAGAAAAGAAAAGAAAGAAAAATATCCAAACAAATTTACCACCCAAATTTTTCAACATTTTGTTTATTTAACACCGGAAACAACATATTTTATTACCTTTATTTTATTTATTTCACAAACCTCCTGCTTTTAGATCTGAAATTTATCCTTGTCAGACGACCGAACACACATATTGCTGATTAAAAAAAAAAAAAAAATGAGAAAAATTCATGAGTATTGGAATTAGGGAGATAATTGCAAATGGCTTAGCAGCCACTAATTCCACGGCAAAATGGACAGCAGACGCCCAAACATTCAACCATAGTCCATTTAAAATAATTACGAGGGTTGACTTTTTACTGGTGCACGGAATTTCTTATGAACACACTGAATCACGGGTCTTGAAAGCCATTAAGGTCGTTGAGGGCCAACATGTAACGCATTCCTCGACAGGATAGTTTTGAACTCAGTTGTTTTGATTCTTTACTTGAAGCTCTACCAAAGCTACATAGCTCAGTCTGCTCCTATATTTACGGAGATTTGAATTCAGGGTTTTCTTTCTCCTAAACTGGCTGCTATCCTAGGCAAAGACCACAATCTACACTACTATTTATCTCACAGCTTGAGAATGATGGCTTCATCCGAAGTAAACGAGAACGACATCGCCAGAATTCGTCCAACCGTTTCCACTTTCTTCACCGTTATAATACCTGCATATCCAACTGAATAATGTTTTCTTTAAAGAAGTTCTTCGGCGATTAGCGATTCTAATTTGCAATAGGTTTTAATACGAATACACGTGTAAGATGACTGCATCTTTAAAAGAAAACAATAAAGAAAACATGGCGAATTTACTTTAGATATTTAATGAAAACAACTGATTAACTACGGTATTTTCGTGGTCTAATTACACGAATTAATTAAGCGTTTGCAATGCCTTTTTGTATTTAATTAAATATAAGTGATTTTTCATTAAAATAGGGTATTGATTTCAGTGAACTTAAAATGATTACTTGCTTACTTATTTTAGTGCATCATTTTACAATATTTGCCACGGGATGGAAACATTTATCAGTGCATTATTTAAACAAATTAGCCGTAGATAATCTATAGTGCTTTTATATAGCCATTTGTCACTTATACTATTGCTAAATAAGATTGGTTTTGCATCTCTGTATCGTTTTATCAAATGAAAATAACTTCAATAAAAACATTTCACTGTAGATAATAAATTCATCAACTTCAGATGAACATTACCCAATAAAAAAAGAAATGTGTATGGTGAGCCTTGAAAATCATGAAATTTTAAGGGAAAAAAATCAACAGAAGTGTTTCAGGATATCGTTTATTGGATAGAAGAAGCAACGAGGAAAACCAAGGAAAGAACCGCCTGCACTAACAGACGACTAAATTTGCATAATAAAACTTATAAATAAATTGCATTTGTATATAATGAATTTAGATTAAATTCATAATAAATAATAACAAATTTGCATCGTTTCATGTTCAATATTCCAATTAATACTTTCAACCAATTTTTATAATGTTTGAAAAGCCTTATTTAAGTAATGCGCTAATCGATGTACTGTTTTATATAAATTATGAAATAAGTAGTGAAGTAATCGTTGTAAGTACTATAAAGAACTGCTTAACTATCATAAGGCGATCAAAGATAGACGGTTCGAATTTAAAGCAATAATGCTTACTAGCAATACCTATGAAAATTTCATTGTTTTCCTATTTTAATTTTCTGATAAATCTTAATTCTTAAGTTAATAATTGAATAAAACCATGACGAGTTCCATGATTATAAAATACCCATACTTCGTTAACTATTCGTACATAATAATTCTAACAAAATATTACAATCACAATCATAAATATGAATGCAGGTCATTATTTAAAAAAGTAATAGGGTACAAATGAGAGGATTTAAAGTTGAAATGTTTTTCTATTTCACTGAAGTAGACGTTCAGTACATTCGACTGTTATCACCTTCCCTTTCTTTATTTCTTTCTTCCACCTGCCTTTTCCTAAAACCAAATAACACCTTTGATTATTCACATTATTGACATTATTCGAACTGTTATCCTCATCTTCAATGCCATATTCACAAAGTTTCGGTTGTTGTACGCTCCGGCTTTCTTAAGGTGATTGGAGTTTCGAGCCGAAGCCTTTCTTTTGTCCACCGGGGTAGATGGTGAGCCTGGACGTGGTTAATCTGTTCACCAAGGTACCCACGGACGAGGCACTCTCGGTAGTCTGGGACAAACTGGCCTCGGACTCATCCCTAGGAGAACGGACCAGTATACCAATAGATAACCTGATGGAGATGCTGAATTTCTGTATTCAAACAACACACTTTGGAATGGGATCAGACATATATCGACAGGTTGAGGGCTTAGCAATGGGCTCGCCATTATCACCAATAAAGGCAGGCCTATATATGGGATACTTTGAGGAAATGGCATTAGAAACTACATCACTAAAGCGATCCCTATGGCTGAGATACATAGATGACACCTTCATACACTGGCCACACCAGGAAGAAGTCCAGCTACTACTGGACCATGTGAACTCAATAAGATCATCGATACAGTTCACAAGGGAGAATGAAAACAACAACAATCTCGCCTTCCTGGATGTACTCATGTCTCGAACAGAGCATGGGTTCAAGACATTCGTATACCGCAAGCCTACA